CCCCCATCTCAACCAAGCATTTTGAAGGAGGAGTGCTGCAGCCTGGTCATTAGGATTAGTGTGCTGTGTAAAGAATGCAGACAGCTCATTCTTCGTGAGATCATCCACATTTTGGAACCTAGCTGTGAACTCCTTGGTCTGGAGGAGTTGACATGGCTGAAGAGATACAACAACTTTCTCACAGGCTAAAGGAAGAAATACATGTGGGGGCGGGACTGGAAGGCATACACATGCACCCTCCCCACTTCAGTTCATTTACGGTTTAAAGTATGTCTCTTTGGCTTAGTTAACTATTTCCTTCAACCGCTAGCATGCATCAGCAAAACAACGACAGAAGGAAGCCACTCTATGCTTTGAGACTGTCCTAGACTCCAGTCCTGCAAACACTGACACTTAATAGTCTCAACGTGCCAGAATATGTCCACAGGCTTCGGAACTTTAAACGTGCCTAATGCAAAGGGCACGACTGCCCTTGCCTGCCGGACTATGATCCCTTTTGCATTTATCTCCCCCTCCCACCCCAGAGCAACACTGGATGAAGAGAAAAGCAGTTCTCACCTAGCTGGCATGTTTTGCCAGTCCACTGAGGTGGGCAAATACACTTAAATCCATCAACTAGATCTTGGCAAGTTCCTCCATGGCCACAGGGATTTGGAGAACAATCATCAATATCTGTAATGCAGAGTAAGGAGAGGCTTAGCTCTGTTACCGAACAGGCAATGTCAGTAACTGACAAATTTGATAAATGGTTGCTGCTACTAGGATTTGCCCCGAGGAACAGAAAGACAACAGGACTTCTACTTGGAATTTCTAAGTCTACTCTGATTTCAGTAAAAGCCTCCTTTAAAAATAATAGTAGTGTGAAAGGGGGTTCAAAGCACAGGGGAAGAAGTTTACACCTGTGGCCTTTTTGCAAGTGAAGTCAGATTTTTATCCAGCAAGTCTCTCTGAACAGTATTTTAAACAACTTGCCAGCATGCTACAGAAATTCACTGTTCTGCTTCTTTCAAGAAACCATTGGCCATTCTTTCCCCTGGCATTTAACAAAAACCTTGGTACAAGCAAAGGAGAAGAGAGTGCACAGTGGTAAAAATGGCTGCCAAGAACCAACGCTAAAGCTGGGAAAGGTTAAGTAGGCTGCCCTGTAAGTCTATCAGGGATTAGAAAGACTGATCTAAAACAGCAAACGAGCACATTTTTAATTCAATTTTGAAAGGACTTACTATCAGTGCAAGTTGGTCCAGCCCAGCCAGGCGCGCACACACATTCAAATCCTGTAGACGTCTCTAAGCAGCTTCCTCCGTTGTGACAAGGATCAGAGAGGCAGGCGTGCTCCGCTGCACCAGGACAGAAATACATCACGGTAGAGACTATAGCAGTATCACCAGAAGCCACCCCCTGCTCCCTCCACACGCTTCTACTCTGGACACACCATTGTGACTCTTGATGTATTGCACTCCTGTGAGAGCTGTGAATCAAAAAGCTACTAGCCAGCAGGAAGTCGTCTTCCCTG